TTTCTAGGCAGTTTTTTTTTAACTACACCACCTCTGATGTATTTTGTCCTGATTTGCTCCAATTGCACCACCTGCTTGTCGAGGGTCCTGGGACTGCTTTGTTGCAAGCTGGTCCATGCTTTTTGCGGGTGTGTTTTACTTCATTATGCTTCCTCATGAGCATTTTTCAGCTGGTCAATCTCCACCCCTCCATGCTTGATAGATGGATAAAACAACAAAGAAAAGGAGGAAAGAAAGAAAGAAAGAAAGAAAGAAAGAAAGAAAGAAAGAAAGAAAGAAAGAAAGAAAGAGAAAGAAAGAAAGAAAGAAAGGAGAAGGTGAAAGGGGAGGACAATCTGTGTTGGAAGTGAGCGGTCAGGGAGAGATTCTGGATGTGTGTGGACAGGTCATACTGAGATGATCCAGTGCATTCTTGTACTCCCAGCAACAGATACTCTCCATGTGAAGGGGACATAAAACACTAGATGATCTATTCATATCTGGATGGTCAGTTAACAGCTAAATGGAGCTGTGGGTGCTGTTAACGAAGGAGAAAATCGTGTGATGTGTTTATTAGGTGGTCTATGTTGTTTAAAAGGCGAGGAAAACCTCTCTTCCTGTTTTTGTCTTCCTTTTTAATTCTTCAATGACAGTGCTAAGTTGATGCATCATCCTTTCGACAGGCCACTGTGACGATTGCCCCACGTCACTCATGCCATTCGTAGGTAAAGGTAAAGGTTCCCTTTGACAATTTGTCCAGTTGTGTCCGACACAGAACGCCATTACCTTCTCACTGTTGTGGTAGCTATTTATCTACTCGCATTTTACATGCTTTCAAACTGCTAGGTTGGTGGGAACTGGGACAAGCCACGGGGGCTCACTCTGTTGCGTGGATTCGATCTTACGACTGCAGGTCTTGTGACCCTGAAGCACAGAGGCTTCCGCGGTTTAGCCCGTAGTGCCACAATTCATAGTCATAAGCTAATTTGCATGAGCCTATGAGAGGACTGGAGAGGTGGAGTCAGCACCTATATGAAGGCTTGGTGGGAGAAGGCGGAGTCAGATAGAGATTGGGATGAGATCCAGAGAGAGATTGGGGTGAGATCCAGAGAGAGATAAGGGCTGGTTAGTCAGAGAGAGAGGGAACAGATAATGAGTGATAAAGCTGGTTAAGAAAATAGGTAGAAAAGGTGGTCATGATATTGCAAGAGAAAAGTATGTACTGAGAGAACTGTTAATGATTTGCTGGTGGACAATGTTTATCTGAAGAACATCTGTGATTATTCAATCTGCTTCACTTCAATAAATAAGTTCTGTTTGTATTCACAAGACAAGTGTTCTGACAAACGTCATTTATATTGTGGATTGAGGTAATCCACTGGTGGCAGCGAGAGGAAAACGCAAAGTGAGGCTTTGTGAGGGCAAAAACACGCAGGTGCCACAAGGGTGAACACCACAGCCACTTACTTTCTTTGACAAAAAAAGGGAAGTCACCGTAGCCTGCTGAATGATTTATGTGGGGAAAAAATGGGGAAGGGGGCTAGTCTGCTCCATGGTTTCTGCAGCCACAAGGCAGCAGAACCCCAGCCGAGAAGAAAGGCAGGGAAAGGAAAAAAGGGAGGATTTTACCTCCCTTCTGTCTCCCCAACCTTCATCCCAGCTGTTTTTCCTTGCGCTGCCACTGTCCTCAACTGCTGAGTCCTTACTCATGAGTAAACCAGAGTAAAACTGACTGCAAGTAAACCCAGTGATTCAAAGACCTGCATGGACCCTTCAAAGACCTTGCGTGAAATAAACATCTCCGATGTGAATGGAAAGATTGCTCAAGTGAGAGATAAAACAGATCACACTGAAGATAAGAACTTTGTTAAGTGGAATTCGTTCCTGATCTAGGGGACTCATTGGATCAGCATGCAGAAATTCAAGGGAAGGCTGAATTTTAGTAAAGGCTGAGGTTTTAGTAAAGGGAAAAAAAGTATTTTAGCAGTTTAAACAAGTTTCTGTACTTAATATCATTACTAGAAGTTCAAATTTCTTAAGAAATCCTGTGCTTAGTTTTGATTTAAAGCTGTATTTGTGAAGTGTGAGGTTTTTGGTTGTTCTGGGTTTTTCGGGCCCTTTGGCTGTGTTCTGAAGGTTGTTTTCCTAACGTTTTGCCAATCTCTGTGGCTGGCTCTGGTGTTGTTGGCTTGGGAGTGCAGTATTTATGGCTGTGGGATAGGCTTATGTCTTTTTCTGTAGATGGGTGATTAGTGTGTATTGTTGTGGGTGTATTGTTGCGCTAAGCAGAAGAGATTATCTGTTCCTGTGGTTGATGGGTGTCATTAGCTGGTCTTTTTTGTGTAGTGATCCCTTGTCCTTGTGGCTGGGTAGAGTTTGTTGACCTTTTGCGCGTTGTATTTTTGAGAGCTGGGAGCCAAGTTTTGTTGAGTTTCATACTTTCCTCTTTTTTGTTGAAACTGTGCATGTTTTTGTCTTTTGTTTAAAAAAGGGTTGGGTAATAGTAAAGCAAAGCTGCAAGATTAAAAAAAAGACAGGAAGTTACCTTGACATTTTGGCTCCCACTTTGCCCTTTGAGGTTTTTTTTGTTTTTTGTTTTAAAAAGGTTTGGGTAATAGTAAATGAAAGCTGCAAGATTTAAAAAAAATACAGGAAGTTACCTTGAAAAGTTTGGCTCCCACTTTGCCCTCTGTTTTGTAAAACGACCTGCACATGGTAATATAGAAAAGTACCATTTTGTGCAGCAAATGTCCCAACTTGTTTTGTCCCACTAAATGTTTCCAAACATTTTCAGGGATTTACGTTATGTGGAAACACAGATTCCACCTCTCTACAACGTGACTCCTTCTAAAGTGGTAGATTCTGGCCAAGAAAGCAAGCAAGCTGGAAGCTTACCACATTTGGATGTAGGTGAAATAAATCACAATACTGTATCGGAAACATCCACCCATCCCTTAAGATTGTTTTGAGTATGTCAAGGGGCAGGTGTAAGCAGAGCTGGAGAAAAACATTACAGTGGTGCCTCGGTTAACAGGCGCCCCATTTAACGACGAATCCACATAGCGATTACGTTTTTGTGATTGCAAAAGCGATCACATTGCGATGATTTAGATAAGAAAAAATCGCTTTGCGATGATCGGTAAGCTGTTTCACTTACCGATTTTCGCATAGCGATGTTTTTCTAACAGCTGATCCGTGGTTCTAAAATGGCCGGCGGGTTAAAAAAATGGCTGCCCACTGTGTTTTCGCGCCCATTCCTCGCTTACCAGGCAGCAAAAATGGCCGCCGTATGGAGGATTTTCGCATAACGGTGAGTTTTTTTGCCCATAGGAATGCATTAAATGGGTTTTAATGCATTCCTTTGGGCTTTTTTATTTCGCATTGCGACGAATCCACATAGCGACGATTTTTCCGGAACAGATTATCGTCGCTATGTGGGGCACCACTGTACTTTTTCGGCTTTCCCCAAGCTCTGTTTTTTTGGGTGACTTGTAGTAGGTCAGAGTTATTTAACAATAGGAACATGGCAATAGAAACATGAAAGGTTTATTTGAAAAGTCCTAAACTTATAGATGCTGAAACCAAGAAGGTTTGAGAAAATAGCCTCTCTCTCTCTCTGTCTGCGCACGTGTGTGCACCAGCATGTAAGGGGTGTGAGTTCCATTCTAGCATTAGAATCAATTTCCCAGGTTGACCACATTCAGGGAAGCACATGGTTCCTTAAATCTGAGTGTTAGCTGAGTCTGCTTCCCCACCCCGTGCTTCTGTTTTATACATGGATCTTGGGGTTTTGGTAAAAAGCATAGTAAACCTCAGAAACTTGAAATCTGCCTGTCCCTTAAGTAAACGTGGTAACATACATTACAGTCTACAGACTGGTCTCCCATAAGACCACTGATACAGAGCAACATTAATCACAATTACCCGAGTACACCTCTGTCCCACTGCAGTTTCAGAAGCTGAAGTTTTATTAAACCAGTTTAAGCAGAAACAGTGACAATAAGAACACTTCTATTTCAGGAGCAGCTGGTCCCTGCTGTGGCTGTTGGAGCAGGCTAGGTAGCCAAGGGTAAGTGAACCAAGGACAAGAAACTGGAAATAGCCGTATCTGCTGCTGTTCCCTTCTTCCCTCTCCTTCTGTCACTCACATGCACTCAGACAGAGTGTGAAGCGAGGAATTTGGCCAGAGAGGGGAACATGTGTGAGTTCTGACTCTCTCTGTGCAGGCAGGCAGAAGTTGGATAACTGAAGGCTTGCTCAGGACCACACGTGTCCCGAACGACCAGCCACCACCACTTACTTCACGCTCAGAGAAGGCACGCGGTCTATCACAAGAGCATTTGAAATAATATGAAACAGTGCAAAAATGTTCGGCCAGACACAATTACAGGATGCACACACGTGAACGTTACAGCTGTGTCTTCTGCCATTTGCTTTTGACCCTTTGGCAAGAAAACACCACATAACCCTCCCTAGAGTTGGGAAGAGTTACTAAGGGGATTAGAACGAGAAACGCTGCTTTTCAGTCTTCTAGAAAGTAGGACCGTTGCCTGGGTGGCTGGAGGATTGTGAAGGTTATAGTCCAGTTCTTCATTTGGAGAACCAAGTTGTTAAATTCAAGCCACAAATGCGTAAGCCATAACCATAAAACAGCAACCAGTCTCCGCCGGATGTGCATCTAAGAGAGACATGCCTGGCAATTTCCAATGTGCCGAGAACTTTTTGGACTTTACATCCAAGAACAAATCTCCTGGAAGAATCCATCATGCCATGAACGTCTGGAATTTTAAGTTCTTCACACTGGTACAAACCCGATGAAGTGATATTTTAATCCACAAAAGCTTGTGAACTGTATGTTGATTTTTTAAAATGGTCTATAAAGGTATTGCCTATTTTTGCATTTGCATTTTATTTTCGTTTGGACCACGCGGCTAACCCTTACTTCGAAGCTCTCTGGCCGACCCCGAGAGAACCCCACGTGGAGCATCAGTTATGAAACCCGAGAAGAAACAACAGCTTACCTCTGCAATAAGCAGGCCCCAAAACCGCTTGAATGTCTCAAAGTCTCCGTTTTGTCCCCAACGGCGTCCACAGAGCAGTGTGAGTCCTACTGAACCCTGACATCGTCTCGCTGCAGATATGAAACCAGAGCCAGGAAGTAACAGTCAGTTGTGGTGTTAGCTCACACTCTAAACAAAGGGGGTGGAGGGTGGGAAGCAGCTACACAATTAACTCAATTGTTTCATCACTGCCCACTTTAGCAGAGTTTGTAAAACTGTCACAACAATAACGGCCTTTTCCCATATGATTCAACTGCACTTCATAATTAGCATAGCCCAATATGAAGGTTGAAAAGTAGCATGCTCCAGGACAGGTGGCAGCCAGCCAGGCTGTGACCATTTCTAGCATACGTTGTTTCACCACTAACACAGTTTTCCACCCCAATCTAACCTCCTCCAGTTACCGCGCTGAGGTCACCTCAGGCTGGCCTCGGCCACCCAACTTCTGTTTGCCTTCTTACCAGAGACGCAGAATCTGGACCGTCCCGTGTCCTCCTCTGGCTGAATCTGCACATTTACCTTCTGTCTTCATGCGAGAAGGAGAGAAGGGGAGGGAGAGAGAAAGGAGAGTAGGTGCAGGTATAAATTTGCCTGTTTTTTTGAGGATGTCCCTAAAGAGAGTGTAAAACTTTTTTTATACTTCTGCAAACTTGTTTTACCTCACCAAGCCTACGGATACCTTCTTCTTCTAAGCATTCTCTCTTAATCACAGAAATATTCCAGCAGTCACACACGGCGGATTCTATGGCTTGTGTTTCTTAGGCTTCAAATTTGTCTCACAGGAGCAATGTGACTTGAAACGATGCAGAGGAACTATCAGATCATCCAGTTCCCCTGCAGGGTTTACTACAACCAAAAACTCATATTTCAAAACAGGAAATGAAAGTCTAGCTACTTCTAGCTTCCTTTAATTCTTTCTTCTTCTTTAAAAAAAAAAACATTTTTGGAAACAGAAGATTGATTCTCAGAACGGTTGAAACTTCCTAACCGTTGCATAGATAGGTTGCTGTTATGTGCGGCCATGTCACGTCCCACTTACAGTGACCTTATGAATGAGCAATTTCAAAAAGCATCTGTCCTCAGCAACCCTGCTCTGCTCTTGCTTACTTAAGCCTGTGGCTTTAGGGAGTCAATCCATCTTGTATTTGATCTTCCTCTTTTCCTATTGCCTTCCAACTTTCCTGACATTATCGTCTTTGTCAGAGAATCCTCCCTTCTCATGATGTGTCCAGAGTACGGCAGCCTCAGTTTTGTCATTTTTGCCTTCAGAGATAGATCAGGCTTGATTTGATCTAGGACCTATTCATTTGTTTTTCTGGAAGTCCATGGTATCCACAAAATTCTCCTCCAACACCACATTTCAAGTGAGTAATTGTTTTCCCTATTAGCTTTCTTCATTGTCCAGCCTTCACAGCCCTACATAGTGATCAGAAATACATAGGTGTGGATGATCTTGGTCTTTGTCAGCAGTGACACATCTGTACCCTTGATTATCTTTTCTTGTCCTAACGGTAGCTTCTGGTGTACAATAGAAGTCACGCATCTGGACAATTAAGGGCTGAGGCACCCCCATTCCTTTCAGAACAACCCATATCATCTCATGATCTACACAATCAAACTCTTTGCTATTGTCTGTAAAGCATAGATTGATGTTCTTCTGAAACATTCTGGTGTGCTCGACTACCCAGCGGTAATGTGAAAGCAAGTGTTGCCTCCTTTTTGAAATCCAGCAGGAACATCAGGCATCTTTTGCTCCATATAAGTCTTCATTGTCCAGCCTTCACAGCCCTACATAGTGATCAGAAATACATAGGTGTGGATGATCTTGGTCTTTGTCAGCAGTGACACATCTGTACCCTTGATTATCTTTTCTTGTCCTAACGGTAGCTTCTGGTGTACAATAGAAGTCACGCATCTGGACAATTAAGGGCTGAGGCACCCCCATTCCTTTCAGAACAACCCATATCATCTCATGATCTACACAATCAAACTCTTTGCTATAGTCTGTAAAGCATAGATTGACGTTCTTCTGAAACATTCTGGTGTGCTCCACTACCCAGCGGTAATGTGAAAACAAGTGTTGCCTCCTTTTTGAAATCCAGCGGGAACATCAGGCATCTTTTGCTCCTTCTGGAACGGCAGCCTGCCAGCCAGCCCACTTGGCTAAAGGAAACTCCTGGTCAGTTTCCTCAGACTCTTGATCTGCTTGGCGGAAAATCTGGCCCAGCCTCACCCAGACTCTGCCTCCAGCGGCCCCCAGGTAAATTGAGTCTGAGACCCCTGATATAAGGTAAAAATACTCTGCCTCCAGCGGCCCGTGAACTAAAAGCAATGTATGTGAACTAAAAGCAATGGTCCAGAAGTTACTGCAGTCCTTGGCATCTCCTTTCTTGGGAATTGGAATATGTATATAAAGTTTCCAGTCTACAGGCTATTGTTTTGTTCTCCATATTTTCTGGCATATTCTTGTTAGGATTTTGACAGCCCTGTGACTTGAAATCTATCCCTGGTGATTTGTTTCTTTCTAGTGTTTTCAGAACGTCTTTCACACCACTTTCTAAAACTGTAAGTTTTTTTGTCACAGGATTTCTCTTCACAGTAGTCTGTCATCCTTTTACAGTATCTCTTCTGTATAGGTCTTCAGTTTACTGTTTCCACTTTTTCTTTATTTCTCTAGGTCAGATAATCTGTTTCTCTCTTGGTCTTTCAGCATTCCTAATCTGCGATTAAACATCCCTTTGATTTCTTGGACCTTCTGGAAGAGATCTTTTGTCTTTCTCCTTTCGTTGTCCTCCTCTATGTATTTGCACTGACTCACAGGATTCTACTTCACAGTAGTCTGTCATCCTTTTACAGTATCTCTTCTGTATAGGTCTTCAGTTTACTGTTTCCACTTTTTCTTTATTTCTCTAGGTCAGATAATCTGTTTCTCTCTTGGTCTTTCAGCATTCCTAATCTGCGATTAAACATCCCTTTGATTTCTTGGACCTTCTGGAAGAGATCTTTTGTCTTTCTCCTTTCGTTGTCCTCCTCTATGTATTTGCACTGTCTGTGGTAGTAGTTCTCTTTGTTTCTACGTGATAGTTGCTGAAAAACTGCATTCAGGTTTCTGACTAGAGATGGGCATGAACTGCGCTCTGGCAGATTGACCCAGTACCAGCCTTCCACATGATGTATTCTGCATATAAGTTGAATAAGCTGGGGGACAATATACAGCCTTGTCGTACTCCTTTCCCAATTTTGAACCAATCAGTTGTTCCATATCCAGTTCTAACTGTTGCTTCCTGTCCCACATATAGGTTTCTCAGTAGATAGATAAGGTGGTCAGGCACTCCCATTTCTTTAAGAACTTGCCATAGTTTGTTGTGGTCCACACAGTCAAAGGCTTACTGACTGTGGTAGTAGTTCTCTTTGTTTCTACGTGACAGTCGCTAAAAAACTGCATTCAGGATTCTGACTAGAGTTGGGCACGATCTGCGCTCTGGCAGATTGACCCAGTATGGTGCGGTGCCCGCACAGGTGTTCTAGCGGGCACCACATGCTTCCCTCCTCTGCTTTCTCTGTGTGATTGTCCTCTCTTGTCTTGCTTCTTGTCTATTCTTTACAATTTTAAATGTTTCTTTCTCACATCATCCTTTTAGATTTTTGTTTTCTTTCTACTATGGGAATTATCTTTTAGCATTCTTACTTAATAATACCTCTGATTTCCATTCTTCTGGCTCATGTTCAGTCAAATTTAGTAATGCAAATCCGTGCCTTATGTGGACCTTAAATTCATCAGGAATGTTGCTTGAACTGTATTTTGGCACCACAGTTCTTTTCTATTCCAATTGTATTTATTGAGGGATGTAAATAGCAGTAAGTTAATATACTAGCGGTTGAAATGGATATAAGGCAGTGACATTTTCCCTCCAGTTACATGACTGCCTGCTAGCTCAGCCTAGAATACTTCTTAAGCAGGAACTGGGGCTGCTCCCCTTACAAATTGTTTTCTGTTTTTAAAAAAGGCGTTTTCTTTCTTTGCAGGATTGCCAGGGTGGAGGGGGGGACTGTTTACATGTTAAAAAAAACAATTGTACAAAGATGTGAGAACTTTTGATAAACCAAAGGTAAAAACATTTGGCTAATAATGCTTTTCCAACCAAGTAAAACAGGGGAAAAAGGAAACATTGGTAATGAACTTTCAATGGGATAACAACAACACTTACTCCCGCCTATCTGGTCAAACGAGGACCCACTCTCGTAAGTATGAATAATGTAGGTGCTCCGTTCCTCGAGGAAGCAATCAGCTTGTCTGTTAATTGATACCAAGGATCAATTTTTAAATAGTTGCTCGTGCTTTTTATACATTTGTGGCCGAATTATATTTGGTGTTATGTACTTTCAAGTTGAAACCAACTTAGACAAGGCATCCTTCAGTCTTGAGATACTATGGTACTGTATCGTGCTCTGCATGGAGGACTTGGAATAGCATCTAGTGTGGCTGAGGAGGCCAATTCGAGAGTGACCATCCCTTCCACACTGAAGACAAATCCAATCTGTCCCCTGTCCAGCTCCCTGATTTTGCTGCTTTCGGGACTGCCTCTTTGCCTCGGCCTGCTTATACCAGACCTAACAGGGTTTTCCAGGTAAATGAAATACAGTATTTAAGGAGTGGTTTACCAGTTCTACTCCCCTGATGAATTTCCATGGCTGACTGGGGCTTCAAACCCTGTTCTCCAAAATTCGGCTTTCTCATTCTATCCACTACAACACCACTCTGGGAACCTGAAGGCCGAAATATATTGGCTGCTGCTCATTTATTTCACAGACCAAATTTCTCAAAAGCTAGCTTTACTTTAGGTTGGTGCAGCAAAAATTAAAAAAAAGGGGGGGATTTTTGGTGACATCTTAAAGACTACCAAGCTTCTTGGACCTTTAAGCTTCAATGTGTGCATCTGTTGAAGTGGGCTGCATTCCATGAAGTTGAAAGACTAGATGGGAGGGATATAAGCATAATACAATAAAATCAAGCAAACAAATAAACCAGGGTTTAACCTTCCACACCATTCTGGTCCGTCTCTCAAAATGCCAGAAGCCTTTTGACCGGCTTCATTCACTGGCTTCTTAAAGCATGTCGTTTATAAGAAACCCTTGGCACATTTTTGCATTGATAGGTGGCACATCCATCCATAACAAGAATAAAAACAAAGCAACCTGCTAATCATTAGAGGTGCCCCGCAACGTTTCTTTCCCCTACTCTCTCTCTCTCTTTTTAAAAATCAGAATCTCCACCTCACTTTTGACTGAAGCTGCGGATGCAACTTCCTCTCCTCTCACCCCGTTGTGCAAATCGCTCGCAACACCTTGTTGTTTCCCTTTCTGCTTTTTTTTTGGGGGGGGGAGGGGACGATCACCTTTAGCTCAGACGCTAAAGGTGGGAGGAAAAGAGGCGGCGGATGCCTAGAGAGAAAATAAGCCAGATGGCAAGCCTTGATCAAGAAGGTGCAAGCCAGAAAATATTAAGACACCTCTCCCAAATATAGTAACTCCTGTCTGCTTTATCGTGGACTTTAAACATGTTTGGAGACGCACTTTTAAAACACTATTTGCAAAAACCTGCAAATGTTTTCTCTAAATGGATTTAGTTCTTTTTTCCCCTGCCCCTCACCAAAGGTTTCGCCCGAACTGTAAAGCTGCGACGTTTATTTCTATTCGTCGACAAGGACGCGCAGAATTTCTACCTGCGTTGTTCAGTTCTTCACCTATC